ACGTGTTTAGCGACACGGTGCACCTCGTCCAGTCGCTCGTCGTCGCGTCGCAAAACTTCAAGCGCCAGTTCAATTCCGGCAAAGACCGGAAGGCGCATCTCCCACACGTGCTTTCGCGGCTGAGCGCGACGCTGCCAGCCCACGCGATACTACCGCTCTCCGTGCACGACGACACGCAGAAGGTAGTCCGAAGCATCGTGCCCACGGAAGGCACGGTGTTCTCCACGAAAGCTCGGGCGCCGACAATGGTTTTCTTCGAGACGATCGCGGTCACCGAGACAACGACGGCGCGTCATCGATCCGACGCGGTGAATGCCGCAGCGCCGACGTCGTACCTCCTGGATGCGTTTCTGGACGCGGACCTCGGGCGCGACCGTCGAGTGTCGGTCGCCGGTCGCAGCCACAGCCGAAGCACGCCACGTCCGAGTGAAGACTGCATTGGTGCTGATCGGTCGTTCGTGTCGGACTGTCCAGTCGCCCTCAAGCTCCTAGAAGGCGACGACGACAACGATAGCAGCTGCAACAACAGCAAGACGATGATGATAGTGGTGGCGGAGGCCAACCCAGCCGAGACGCTGCCAGAGTCGTTTATGGAGAAGCGCACGCGGCTCCAAGCGCAGAGCCTCCACCGCTCGGTACGTCCTCCACCACATTGATAGTAGCGCGGTGGATGCAGAACTGTGGACATAGGAACTGGGGTGGGACCTGGTGCCGGTCATTGCCAAGAGCTTTGACGACATGCGTCAAGAAGTGTTTATCATGCAGCTTTTGCACATCTTTCTCGAGTGCTTTCGCGAGACGGAGCTCGTGCTGCGCCCGTACACGTACGTGTCGGAAGGATGCCCTCATTTGGTACAAGTGATGCGCTAGCATTCTGTGCTGCGGCGACGACTGCGGGCTCATGCAAGTCTTGCTGGACGCCGACTCGGTCTCGGACGTCAAGAAGCGTCATCCAGGAGTGTCTCTCGACGCCATCTTTGCGGCGCGGTACCCGACCCGCGAGCGGCTGGCGGTGCGTGTTTTTAGTTAGTTGGTTCGTTGCTGACTGGATGTGGTAGGTGGCCCGCGACAACTTTATTCGGTCCATGGCCGCGTACAGCCTTTTTTGCTACATTCTACAAGTGCCCGACTGCGTCGTCTCATTGATTTTCATGCTATTGCCTGCTGCGATAGATCAAGGATCGCCACAACGGCAACGTCATGCTGCACGTGGACGGCACGATCTTGCACATTGATTTTGGCTTTGCGTTTGGTATTGCCCCGGGCGGTACGACATATTGTCCATTGCACGAGCTTATTTTTGTGTATGGGACTAGGTCGGTTTAGCTTTGAGCGAGCGCCATTCAAGCTCACGGAAGAGATGGTGCTGACCATGGGCGGCAAGGAAAGCCCGGGCTACCAGCGTTTTCTGCGGCTCCTTGGCGACGGTCTCTTAGCCCTCCAGCACCACGCGCCTCGTGTACCGTGTGGGATTTGAAGTGGCAATGATGTTCGATGGGTTTTGCTGCTGTAGATCTTGGCGCTTGTGAGCATGACGGCGAAAAATCACCGTTTCCGTGCTTTGTGGGGCAAAATGTCCCGCTGCTCCTCCGCCGGCTACAAGATCGCCTCTGTGTGGGCGCGTCTGACAGCGAAGTTCGGCTCCACGCTCAGCGACTGGCCGACCAGAGCTGCAACAGTCTGCGCACCCGCCTGTACGTTGCCTCTTTGAAAAGAAGAGAGGGACTTCACATTCACTAGGTACGACCGGTACCAGTACCACTCAAACGGGTATGTTAGTTAACTGATTTCTTTATGAATATATATGTATTTACCGATGGACACTATTGACCACATGCGTGACGACATGTCGGCGTGAACGACGAGCGCGGCTCGAGATTGTGAAGTCGAAAAACTGCACTTGTGTCAAGGGACTTGGCAGCAAAATTCGAGAATGACGCGACCAAGTGCGAGGATGTCTCCGGGTGACTCACTTTCGCAGTAGCAGTCGCCCAAGCGTCATCGGTCTTGGCGTCGTCGGACGTCGCCACAGGCTACAACCAGCTACAGGCCACAACGATGCGGCCATGTCGTCGTCGGCAGCCATGCCAGGTACTCGTGCTTCTTCGTCGATCAAGCGTTATTGCAATCGCAGGCGCGCTATGTTGTCGGTGGTTCATCCAAAGAAAGTGTTCTTACCAGTTTACAACGTCCAAGCGCTCCAGAGCATGAAGGTGCCTCGCCTTTCAGATGAACGTGTCGTCGTGCGGGCATCGTTGCAAGCTGGCATATGGTGCACCTGGGCACCTGGATGCTGCTCGGCACACCAAAGTAGTCGTAGAGGAATTTGAAGGCTGCGTCGAACGTAACGTGCTCTGGGCTCGTCATGGACGGTCGAAACTATGGACTACGTAATAGGGACTTGATAAGGTACTCTTGACAAGGTTGTGCATACTCATGCAGAACCTTGGAATACTCGGAATGCATGCTGTGGTGCCACAAGGGCCAGGACGTCGGACTTGGTAGTGGTGCAAGGTAGGCAGTTGCCGCACAACACAGAGCCGCAAAGCCCACTCAACGCAGCTCCTCCGATAGGATGCGTCGTGCTACGGCGAGCAGATATCCGAACGCGCATTGACGCAGCACCACGCTAGGCAGTCGTCACAAAGGAAGGACGCAGCGAGCCAACAGCAATTGCCGCCGTCGAGACGTCCGTCAACTGAATTGCCTCGTGCCTAATTATTGCGTTGAAACGAAATCACGGTTGGCATTTTTGTCTATGATTGCATCACTCGTAGGACGTCGCTGGCGCTATCTGTGGTGGATATCGTCATGCATCGCAGCCGATGTGGCCTTTCTCCCATCAAACAAAGGGCCCCTGGGCCGCGACGCAAGCTCCGTCGTTGGGTCTAGATACAGGGCCTTCATTGTTCGCTTGCCGAGTTGGAGCGCCGTTGTGGTCATTGTTGACACCTCGCGCCTGGTCGACATCCGAAACGGTTCGGCTCAAGCCGAGAGGTCCCTGCAACTTTTGAGATGCCTGCAATCATAACGTGGGACACGACGTAATGCATACAGTAAATATATTCATATATCGCAAGAGGCCAACAAGGTTTCTGGCGAGTCCGAGATGCTTGACACCCGACGGTTTCTACCTACACCCGTACGTTGGATGCCGCAGGTACTCTTCCAAGACGAGCGCTTGCATCGGAGTCAGCGTTGTCTTGTCGATCGCTGTGCACTCGTCGTAGAAGTCAAACCAACGTCGTCGTGTCTGCACGTCGGCGTCAACGACTGCAAACGCTGGCGTCCCGGCTGTTAACAGCGCCAGATACAGCACATCGCACCCATCAGTTCGCTCAGCGCCCGAGCGCAGATACTCGACAGCGAGCGCAATGTACGTTGCGAGGCGTACGCGGCATAGCGAGCTCCGCCGACGCCACAAAATGACCGGAAGGTAGCCGACGCAGTCTTTGTTGCCTCGAATCGCTTGCAGCAGCGACGCGAGCGGCGGCACGAGGTACGCAGCCACCCTGCGCACGACAACGTCGGGCAAGTGCTGGCCCAAGTACGTAGCCGCAGCCACGTCCATCGGATGTTCGAGCATATACGTATCAATGTCAAACACATGGCGCAGCGTCCCTTCCTTCTTCTCCGTCCAGCGGCGGCTCGACGTGAGGTGGCGCAGCAAGCGAGGCCACCACAGCGGAATGCAGTCACACGCGATCGTTTGTGCGAGCGCGTCGCCGGTGGTCGCGAGGTGCACCAAACGAGCGACAAACGCACTTGACGCCTTCACCGTTTGGAGTCTGTCCTGGATACGAGGCGCGCCAAACCGTCGGAGCACCGCAAGGATCCAATTCGCCATGGTTTCGTCGTCAGCCCACTGATCGTGAACGTCCAAGAACGTCTCAATGAGGTGCAGGTCGCCGTGATCGTAGAGCAAGGACGCCATCTTGCTTGTGACTTGCGTTGGCTCGCGGCCATCGTCGTGCTGGGGCTGCGGGTAGAAGAATCGGAAAGCCGCTTCAAAGATACAGTGAAGTGACCCGTAGCCGAGGTCGTCGTTGACGTCCCCGTCAATGTTGGCGCGCAAGAGCGCGATCGTGCGGTCGTAGCCGTGGATGTGCACGCGGGTCACCTTGGGCCAGAAGAAAAGGTAGCAACCGGGCGCCGTGTCCTCGTTCGCGAATACAAACTTCTCGATTGGCGTCTGGTGACAGATGAGCGCCGGCGTTTTGCACATTGGATGAAACGCTTCGGGAATGTACTTGTTGTTGGCGCCTTGGCCCATGCGTACAAGGATCATGTCAAAGACGTTCGCTGCAAGTAGCACGTCGACGACCGCCTTGTCATGCCCCGTGAGCGAATCAAAGGTCGGTGTCATGCTGCGTGTCTCGAGCTTGATCGTGGCGCAATTGCGACGATGGCGTGGATCAAAGTCGCGAGCGGCATCCTGGAGCTCGTGGGTCAACGGCAGCGGCGGCGGTGCGTAATTTAGCTCGGGTACCTTCCATTCGCCCCCGTCGTAGTCTTCAAGATCACAATCGTCAATGTCAAACGCGGCGTGGTACACGGCAACGGACCGGTGTCCAGACGTGATGGGCGCCACCGTCACTTTACACGTATTGTAGAACGAGAGAAAGCACCCTTCGAGGGCCTCGAACGTCGTCGTCCGGTGGTCGTGCGTGATTGTGACGGCGCCGCCGACGCAGTTGGATGGGAAGAAGTAGACGACCGTCGCAAAGGTGTTGGGTGGCAGTCGCCTCGTCGCCGGCCTCAACACCGAAGCGGTGCCGGTCGTATCGATTGCAAAATGTGCCAACATCATGCTGAACGTCTCGTTCTCATCGTCGTCGTCTTGCTTCTCGTCTAGTTGACCGAGGATGGGGGATTCAAACGTGTACTCGCGGTCGGCAATGTCGTGGAAGCCGCAGAAGATGACGTCCTTGGCCGGTATACGGTCAAAGTACTTGGTCGTCAGCGCCGCCACGGTCTCGGTTGATAGCGGCCACGAGTCCACGGCGATGCCACAGAGTTTTGCCGTCGGGTGGCGCTCGACGTCCGGCTTGTACAGACAGCACGGCAACGGTGCGTCCAGTGCCAAATCGCCATAGTGACACCATCCATCGACGAAGGCGGCGTGATACACGGCGAAAGACCGGTGTCCGGACGTGATGGGCGCGACCGTCACGCCACACGGGCTGTAAAACGAGAGAAAACACCCGTCGAGTGCCTCGAACGTCGTCGTCCAGTGGTCGTACGAGATTGTGACGGCGCCGCCGACGCAGGTGGACGGAAAAAAGTCACGACCGTCGCAAAGGTATGGGGTGGCGGTCGGCTTGTTGGTGTCAACGTCGATGCGTCGCCGGTCAAGTCGATCGCGAAATGCGCCAGCGTCAATTCGAACGACCAACCTTCTCTGCAACGCTCAGGGTTCATGTCGTTGAAAATGTTGGAGTCGTAAAAGCGCGTTTGGCCAGCAATGGAAAGGCCGCGGAGGATGACGTTGTTGGCTGGGACGCGGCCAGAGTACTTGGTCGTCAGCGCCGCCACGGTCTCGGTCGATAGCGGCCACGAGTCCACGGCGATGCCACCGAGTTTTGCCGTGAGGAGGCGCTTGGCGGAAGGTTGTTTGCTCAGACGGTACGGCGGCGTCTCGGCCTCAGACGCCAACGTGTGTAAAGCGTCGAGACCCTCGTACTCGTCTTCGTCACTCATGCCAGCAAAATCCAAATGTGATGTAAACCACGATGCAATGACCTTGTGGTATCACGTTTTTACGAACGTGTAATGCCCAGTTATCAGAGCCCACATGCCTGAGTGATGGTCTTTTCCAGGTGGGATAATTCAGTGGACATGCTGCTCTTCTCTTCCTGCTCGCTCTCCTACTGGGCAAGTCGTAGATGCTCATCGGTCAGAGCACCCGCCAAACAGTATGCGAGCGCGAGTTCGTAAAAAAGCGGATAACGTAGGAAACACGGCGCACTCGATGTTTAAGCGCTCGGCTCCAGTGAATGCCGTGAGTAGCTCGAATGACTCGGTGGGCAAAAACGACGACGACGACGACAACGAGGACTTTCCGGCGCTGCCCAGGACGTTTCATAATATAATAATTTTGTGGGACGCCGGCGCTTCTCCAAGAGGTCTACCAGCAGAGGTCGTTGTAGGAATTGGCAGACGAGTACGACGGCTGGTTCCTCCTCGTGTGGCCCAAGGCAAGCCGCCTCGGCTACGACCGCACGATCGCGCTCTTGCGCGCCAACGTTGACGGGGACGTCAACGACGACCTTGGCTACGGGTCACTTCACTGTATCTTTGAAGCGGCTTTCCGATTCTTCTACCCGCAGCCCCAGCACGACGATGGCCGCGAGCCAACGCAAGTCACAAGCAAGATGGCGTCTTTGCTCTACGATCATGGTGACCTGCACCTCATTGAGACGTTCTTGGACGTTCACGATCAGTGGGCTGACGACGAAACCATGGCGAATTGGATCCTTGCGGTGCTCCGACGGTTTGGCGCGCCTCGTGTCCAGAACTCCGAACGGCCGACGTCTCGATCCCCTTTGCGGCTCAAGTGGTTTCTCTCGCAACGGCCAACGACGTACTCGCACAAACGATCGTATGCGACTGCATCCCGCTGTGGTGGCCTCGCCTCTTGGACCACCTCGCCAAGACCCACTATAGTGAGAAGAAGGCGCTGCACCTTGTGTTTGACGTTGAGACGTACATGCTCGAGCACCCGATGGACGTGGCGACGTCAAAGTACTTAACCCAGCACTTGCCCGATGGCGTCGTGCGCATAGTGGCAACGTACCTCGCGCCGCCACTCGCGTCGCTGCTGGACGCATTGCGATGCAAAATGCCCCTCGCTGGCTACCTCCCGTCCGTCGTGTGGCCGCGTCGGGACGCACTCAGCAGCATGCGCCTCGCCTCTTGCATTGCGCTCGCAACCGAGTATTTGTGTTCTCCCGGGGAGCACCGCCACTTTTCGACGGGCCATCTGCCAAGCCTGGTGTACTTGGCGCTGCTGACGGTCGGAACACCTGCGTTTGGCAAGGTCGACGCCGAAGTGCAAATATGGCGGCACCATTGCACCTTTCGAGCCGCGTGCGCGAGAATCACGAAGAAGATGCTGTTCAGCACGATGCAAGCGGTTGTCATGGAAGAGTACTACGTGTCGTCGTGGACACGGCATTTTCACAAAGGATAAGATATTACCGGTACTTGAATACAAACTGGAAGCACCGGAACTGTAGACGACGACCCATTCAATGGCGGGGCTCTAGCAAACGCGTGCCTCTTCAATCGAAGAAAGAGGAGAAAAGAAGGCGGAAGTTTGTTAATGACGTGGCGATCTTGTGAAGCCGTTGCTGTGCGCGCGGCAAATGTGCAGGTCTTCCTGGTTTTATGCTTGTTTTGTAGACCTCTGTGGTCCCTTTTAAACGCAGCCATTAGCTCGAATTTCTACCAATGAATGAGCGCAAAACCCAGTAGCGAATTGACGCTTCCATGCTAATACGCCCTCAGTTATATCCAACTTGAAGTTTCTTCAGGAGGCGCTGACGTGGCACAAGAATGCAGTGACAAGACAATCGTACCAAAAGCGGGTCACACAACACTATACTGTACACAAATATGTCCTTTTTCAAGAGACGACATGGTAGTATGATTACATGAACAAGAAGGCAAACTCCTTCTTGACGACAACCTTGTCGGCTTTGGCGGGCTTCTCCAACGACGGAGTCTCGATACATGGGCCTTTCCGAACGCGCGTTGCTTGCACACTCGCCGTCGCTCGTCGCTTCTCGAGCGAGCACCGGTCGCCCGGGGCCGTGCGCGTCCCCACCCGCACGTGCGCGCCGCCGCCATACGCTGCGACGACCGGTGTCTCGTCTTCGTCTGAACTGACCACGTCCTGGCGTAACCCTCCGAGCTTCGAGTCGAGTTGGGCGATTTCGCGACGTAAAGCATCTTCCTCCATTGACATGCTCGCTCCTTGCACCGGCTTCAATGGCGACACGGGCCGACGCGTCGCCCGGATGTCTGTCGGCGCTGCAGGTTTGGTGACCACCACGGGCGCCGTCTTGGTGGGTTCCATTGCTTTCTTGACGGGCTCCGTGAACTGCGCCTTTTTGGCGAGTTGCGGCGGTGGTGTCCTCTGGACGGGCTCTGCGGGCGGTAGCTTCTTGGTGAGCTCTGCGGGTGGTGACGTTTTGGCGAGTTCCTGGAGCGGGCGACCCAGCGACGGCTGCACCGCGGGCTGAAGAGTGTGCACCTGTGGTGCCGGCACTGCGGAGGTAGCACGTAGGGTCTCGGTCGGTCCAGGCTTGGCCGTTGCGATGACTCTGGTGGGCGCTACCGTCCCTGCGTGCTTGGGTACGGCGCTCACGATGGGTGCTGCGTGACGCAACGTGCGCTGCGTCGGAGGTGCCTGGTCCTTCTCGAAACAAACGGCGGCCTTGGTGTGACCTTTGGCGTGCGCCTTGGGCGGTGTCGCAAACGCCACCGAGAGGTCCAAGCTGTCGGCCAGGCGACAAGCGGTTCTGTCGTCATCGTCGTCCTCTCCGTGCTCGGAGCAGGTGCTGTCGGAAGCAACGCTCAAAGTATCGTCGTCGACCTCGGGCATCATCTCGTTCGCCGGTGCTTTACGAAAAATGGTTTTGGCGCAGCCAAGCTGTGCATTTTAGGTGCCAGCCACGGCTTGGTCCATTTTAGGTGCCAGCCACGGCTTGGTCCTAGCACTTCGTCAATTCGAGCTGCGGTACAAGGTCAGAGTGTACGCTCGGAGTGTGGCTTCCGGACGCTTCTCTTCGTCGCCAGTGGCCTTTGCAGTCGGTTTTGGAATGTGAGACGCTGGCGCTGGATGGGCCGTCGCCCGCTTGGCCGCCTCGAGCTTCCTACGCGATGCAGTCGGTTCATGTGCTGGCAATTGCGAACGTACTCGCGCCGTTGTTTGGCCTCGAGGCGAATCGCACGCTCGCGCTCCCACGCTGAGAGCTTGGCTTGGGCGTAGTCCCCTTGCATCTCTCGTTGCTTTGACAGTCCAATACTGTCAAGTGAAACTCCTGGATGAACCCTAGTCTCGATGAGCATGTGTAGTTAGTCGTTTAGTCGGTCCATCTACTTTTTCCATGTGATCTTCGACTTCCGTTGCATTCGTCAGCACGTGCATTTCAACCAATCCCCATCCGATGTATACAAACTTCACATTGGCTTCTGTATCTTTTCAGCCAATCCCATGGCGCGTAGAAAATCTTTTGTCGCCACCGAAATATCATACAAACCGCGAGGTATATTTTCACCGGTAAAAAAATACAACTGGGCCAGAAACGTCGAAGCGGTATTTTTGCACGGACGCATGCGGCCGCGAACGATCCGCGCTCTGTACGCCGACGTGCTATGGCCGCGCCTCATGATGGCCATGTAGGTACAAGGTCATCCTGCGCGATGTGCGCAAGATGAGCGCTATCCCGGGCTTCCGCGTGCGTGAGCCGCTCAGCATGCTGCAGTGGGGCACCGGTGGCATGCTGCCGCCGCCCGAGGACGGCGTCGTCGCATCGCCCTACGCGTCGCCCGAGGACAAGGAGACATGGGTCCGCCTGCAAGCGCTCCTCGAGCCCCACCGTGGCGCCGACCTGCGCGACGTCGTCCGGGCCACGTTTCGCGCCAACGCGACGCTCACCGACCCCAAGGTACATGACACATCATTCCTTTCGCACCATCACCCACGCCTTCGCCTTGCACTAGACCATTGCACAGAAGATCGACGAGATGATGTGGTAGCGTCCATCGCCCTGCGGCCGCGCTTGCCGTACTTATATGCGTGCCATCGTCGTGTAGGGTCATTCCCGAGATCTCACGTCAGCGCCTTCTCGCCGAGTCGTCGAGCGGTCCGCGCCCCATATCCTCCTTGACATAGGTCTCACATGCACATAGTGACGTGCACGGACGACGTCGAGATTGAAGCCACGAGCCAGTTCCTTCCGACGCAGTCGGAGCCCAACCGGTTTCGCTACACATACCGCATTCGCATCCGCAACCTTGGTAGTCGTCCGCCTCGCTCCTCGAGATGGTTTCGCAGGCCATTAAGAGAGCGATTGCTTGTGTAGGCGAAGACATTGTCCGTGTGAACGGCCGCCACTGGGTCTTCAACCACAACTCGGTCAAGCGCGACGTGCTGCCGCGCAACTCGCCCGGCGTCGTCGGTCACATCCCCGTGATCGCGCCCGGTCACACCTTTGAGTACGCTAGCGGCGTCGATCTCGAGACGACGACCGGGTCAGCATCCGGCTGCTTGCATATGACGCGCTTCATGGCGACCGACGATGGCGGCGAAGTCGAGTTCGATGCGGAAATTGCGTCCTTTCTTCTCCAACCGACCGTGTCGGACTAACAAGACACCACTAGATATTGCTGTTGCTTGACGATACGTGCATGTTGCGCCACACAGCTCATAGCTAGAGCCATTCGACGCAGAGTCGCGTCCAGAGACTGTAGCCTGGGTCCGGCGTCTGCATAGCGGGTTCGCATCCCATGGCCAAGGAGGACCCACGCATCGACCTTGGCTGCGACGCGCTTGCGAGCATGTCGGTACCTGCTGCTTGAACCTCGAGCCAACAACGTGCATCACTTGCTATCCTTCCGACGACGACGACTTGTACTACTGCCAACGCTACCACCCAAGCAGCCAAGCGAATCAAGATCTCGGTGCGAGGTGTCCGTGTCAAGCGATCGTCTTCCGTCCAGGAAGCATCGACCGCAGCGCCGTCGCACGCACTAGTCGTTAGTCGTCGTGAGCTTGGAATGGCAATGCTTCCAGTGCACGTCATGCATACGTGTCTGCACAAACGGTCCAGCAAACCCAACCTAATGCTGTTTTCTACCAATACCATGCTCCTTCTACATGTATGTTCGACCACGCGGCAAAGGTAAGCAAAGGATCTTCAGTACCGCGCAACGATGTACAAGTTGTCAACAAGATAATGGCCGCTAGACCACATGCAGTTCGCATCCCCGCTTCCATCGGCCAGAAGGTTCTGGAATGGTAGGGTTAGGGCAGCCATCTGGACCGAGAGTCGGGTGGCGCATGCCTCTTGCACAAGGGAAAAACGAGTCGTACATTGTAGTACTATCTACTCGAAGGCGTAATCCATCTACTCGACGATCGCGCGGTAGACGGGCAAGAACATCTTGGACGCGACAAACTCCTCAAGAGATGCGCCACGGCGAATCTGCGGCGGGTTGGTTGCAATGCCGTCTTCAACCGCACACCGAACAACGGCGGTCGCGACCTTAAGCGACACGTCGCGGATCTTCCGGACGCTCGGAAACACTTGGCCGGCCGCGATTTCTTCGGGCGACATGCAGTCGACAAGCGCTTGGGCGGCTGCGTAGAGCATGCGGTCCGTGACGCGGCTCGCGCCGCAGACGACCGCTGCGAGGCCGACACCGGGGAAGATAAACATGTTGTTGCACTGGCTCACGTTGTAGTCGGCACCGTTGAAGCGCACCGTCGGCATCGGCGATCCGCTCGCAAAGACGCACTTGCCGTTGGTCCAGTCGTAGGCCTCCTGCGCCGTGCACTCGGCGACTGCGGTCGGGTTCGAGAGCGGAAACACGATCGGCATGTCGACGTGCTTGGCCATTTCCGTGAGCGCTTCCTGTCCATCCATTTCAAAATGAGATGGTGCATGGCATCATTCGTTCGGTACCTTGGTGAAGGCGCCCTTGGCCGCCGAGAGACCGAGCAGCATGGTCGGCTTGACTTGCTTGATGAGCTCGACCAGCGACGTCTTGTCCGGAAGGTCACTCCGCGCGAAGAACGTCTGGCCCGACGTCATGCCGTCCCGCGCCGTCGTCATGAGGCCGTGCTGGTCGACGACGTAGAAGCGGCGACGCGCCTCCTCGACTCCGACGCCTTCCTGCAGCATGCCCTGCAGCAACGTCGTCGAGACACCGAGACCTGCGCTGCCAGCACCCAAGACGACGATGCGCTGGTCTTTCAGCGGCGTCTGCACGCGGGCGCAGGCCGAGAGCGCACCCGCCAGCACGGTCGCGCCCGTGCCTTGAATGTCGTCGTTGAAGCAGAGCTGCTTGAGACGGTACGCGGCGAGGACGTCGGCGGCGTGGTCACTATCAACGTATCAAGAATGAATCAGAATCACCCACACAGCAAGAAATCGTACCTGGAAAAGTCTTCAAACTGAACCAGCGCGCGCGGCCAGCGGTGACGCACGGCGCGCATGAACTCGTCGATCATGCTCCAAAAGTCGTCGCCTTCAAGGCGGCGATGCTGCATGCCCATGTAGTACGGGTCGTTGAGGAGCGACTCGTTGTTGGTGCCCGTGTCAAGAACCACCGGGAGCACCTTCTTCGGGTCAATCCCGCCGGCCGCCGTGTAGAGTGCGAGCTTCCCGATCGGGATCCCCATGCCGTTGACCTACCATGCATATTGCTGCATGAGCGCTCTCCGTCGGTAGAGGGAATATGAACATACGCCAAGATCCCCGAGGCCAAGGATGCGGCTGCCGTCGGTGACGACAATGACTTCCACGTCGTCGCACGGCCAGTTGTACACTAGTAGAGCATACTATTGAGCAAGGCGTCCGTATCGAGTTGCGAGGGACGTACTCATGGACGCGAATTGCGATCGGTCGGCCGAGCTAAAGTACATGCCACGCGGGCGACGGAACATGGAGCCAAACTTTTGGCACACTTGGCCGACCGTGGGCGTGTAGACCACCGGGGCTACGCAGTGGCATTCGAGTCAACGACGCTATCGCCATGCGAGAGAGAGAATACCCATCTCTTCGATGTTGTCAATGAGGAGGCGGAAGAAGAGCGTCTCGTTGCGGTTCTGGAGCTCCGAGAGGAAGATGCTCTTCCGAAGCGGGTCCGGCTCTTGCTGGAAGAGGTCGTAGAGCTTCTCGAGCTGCGTCTTCATGACGAGGCGGCGCGGCGGCACGAGGCCGCGGAGGCCCAAGCGGTCACGCTCGACGGCCTTGAAGCCCGTGCCCTTGTTGTAGAGCGGGTCATGCACAATGTCGATGCCACGCTTGCCCGCGCGGACCGGCGGCTGGTACTTCTTGACCTTGGTGATGTTCTCCGAGCTGTACTCGTCGTCGGCTTCGTACGGTGCGAGGAGCGTCCGCGTCGTCGTGAGCGCCCGCGTAGGCGTCCGCGACCGGAGGAGCGTCTGGCGCAGCATGATGCAGGGTTGGAAGTGGCTCCAGTCGCTGGATTTCTGCCACTCTCCCAAGGAGTGTGAGAGGAGAGTGCAATTCGCTCCCTGATTGGCCAAACTCAAGTGTCGCCGTGAGAAAAGTCACCAATCATAGCGCGGCGGCTCCTGACAGCCAATCAACGGCGAGGGGATGGCGCCGGAAGGGATGTGCCCACGTTGAAGTGCGATGAGCGCTCGCTGGATCTGGGCGGCGGCGGCGGCTGGTATTAGGAACGGCAGGAACACGTAGCAGCAGGCGCGTTGGCTGTGGCCATCGCGCAAGCACGGACGCGACTTAGCCCTCATGCTCGTCCACTGATGCTCGTCCAGCGTCTTGGGTGGCAGCGGCTGCGGGTGCTCCGTCATGGGCACCAAAGGACACGGAGAGTGGGAGCCACTCATTGGACTCGAAAGGTGTCCCGAAGCGACTGTGTCACATGGGTAGTCACCTGCCTGTCCACGCCGTACTGCGATGTGGCACACCGCTCGAATCGCGCGCACGCTGTCTCCGATAAGCCATGGCAACGTAGCCGCGTGCGCCACTTGTTGGAGATGGTGTGGCCTCGCACCGCCGTGTCCTCTGCTCCAAGTGGACCAACGACGAACGCCGAAAGTTCGAGGCAGCGGAGCATCGAGCACATCAAGATAGAGTGCATGGAGGGTTTTGATGCGCTCGAGGTGAGAGCGTCCGCGATGCAGGCACGTTGATCTTTCTTTCGAATCCTGGAGTCCCAGCCCAGCCCGACCAACACCATTTCGACGTCGCATCCACCCAGCCCACGAGCGATGCATGATCCTTGGCGCAGTGCTCTCTCGCAGACCATCCAAGCTTTTGTCGTCGCATATTAATGCCTCCAAGGACGCAACGGTCGCAGCGTGTTGATCAACGTCGCAAAGACACTCGCTTAGCTCGGGTGCTCATGCTGACGGTGCCACATTGTTAAGCGATGCTCGTACGCGCAGTCAATGCGATGACGCGCAATGAGGCGACGAAGACGAGTGCGTTGACCGGGTCGTTATCTACTCGCTCAGCATTGTCGCCCGCACCGAACCTAACGACGAAGGAAGGCGCATCGCATGGAACATCGGCGCTTCATACCATAAAGCATCTCTGGTTCCTCCGCCTCGAGCGAAGAGTGGGCCGGGCACCGAGATCAGCCAACGCGAGAGCTTGTATACCGGCAGTCGCTGCCTCAGCGCAGTGCTCAGGCTTGCCGCCCCGCCTTCGCAGAGTAGTACCAAGGCTGCAATGTCCGAGCCCGATGGAGCATTTCTGGCCATACCCTTGTAGCCAGCGATGCATGACGGCTACGCCGCGTGACCGAAAACGAGTCTTTTCTCGGGTCGTGGCCTCGTCACCGCTTTGGCTCTCCCGAAGCGTCGTACGAGGTGCTTCAAATCATTGCCGTTTGAGTTGTCTGTCTGCTGTTGTGCACCGTCTGCAGTGCGACTATGACTGCCGTATTGATGCATTCTCACTTCTAACTACTATAGTATCTATCTATCTATCTATCTATCTTTGTCAGGCGGTGTATTACCAGTGTATTACCGGGATTACCACTATGGGTTTCTTTTCTATGTGGTCCATCGTCAAGCTACTTGATCGACCAGCAGCGTCCACGGTCGTGAGCGAGACCCGTGTTGCGGAGCTCCACTTGGATGCGACCGTGGGCCGACCTGGAGCTGCAGCACCCGAAGGTACACAGGGGGTGCTCACTTGAACTCGCGGGCTGATGGAAGTCGTTGGCTTGGCGACCGACGCGAAATGTCGGTTGGTCTGATGTTGATGAAGGTTGATTGCTCGTGGTGCCGACACTGGTCGAGTTGTTTTGTTTTGGCGTCTTGGTCGGTCGTCGTACATGAAAGTGTTTTCGTTTTGGCGCTGGGCATGTTACTTGTTTTCGTTCTGGAGGCATGGAGCTGGGCGGTTGGCTCGATACATTTGTTTTCGTTTTGGCGGCGTGGCGGGTTGGACTTGAATTCTTTGTTTGGGTCGATGGCTTGGGTTTCGGGGTCGGATGATATGGATCTTGTTGCTAAAGGTTGATGGTTGATGGCGTTGGCGGTGGCGGCGGCGGCTGGCTGATTTGTGCTCTGTGCTCTGTGCTCTTTGCTCTGTGCTCTGTGCTCATGTTGGTTCTGTATTGGATCTGATGTTGGTTGTGGTCCCCCTGACCGTTGTTTTTGTTGTTGGCTGGCTGGAGCATGTCGTCGTCTTCCTCGGATACGTCATCTTGTACAGCGTGGCGATGAGTTCCTCATCGCTCAGCGTCGCTTGGTCTGATGGCGCGGCTCGCAGCAGGCGAAGGCTTCGACTGACGAGGCCTCCTTCTGCCGCGTCCTGGATGACCGACGGCCGCGCCTCTGGGGACGCGGCCACTCGTCGGTTGGTTTCGCTTGCGGAACGGCTGGAGAATCTCTATCTATCTATCTATCTATCTATCTATCTATCTATCTATCTATCTATCTATCTATCTATCTATCTATCTATCTATCTGTCTCGTCCACTGGCTCTTCCACTGGCTCGGACTGCAAGGTGTGGGGGCAACGCAAACACTAAGGAGAGCCATCTCACATGAGGCAGGCAGTTGCATTGGTCACGCATGAGAAGCAGATTCTGCATCGCTGCGCTGTCCAGCACCATGAATCTCGGCCGCGCCGATGCCACCGGTACGAAGAGAGCAAGTATCTAGATATATAAATATCTGATATACTAGTAGTTTACGGTACCACCCTATCCCGCACCGAATCCAATCTAGACCACGCACGCATCCAACATGGGCGTAGCTAGAGCTGCCTGGAGCCTTAGCTCTCCAACGATACACGCTTGCATTAGCCGGGGAGGCAGCTCCGACACAACAGGGGTCGCTCGTCCATCATCAAAAAGAGCGTGATTGGTTTCGCACCTGGTAGAACAGTAGCCTGCGTCGGCCGAAGCTGACCATCTTGGGACGGTCGTTGGGACCTTATTTTGTCATTCGTTGCCCATCCCTCGTCAAGCTCTCCCTCGTCGCCGCGTTCTACTTGGGTGCAGCCTCTCATGCTCCGCCGGCATGCAGAGCATCCAAGTGATTCGACTGCAATACTACTACAACCTTCCGTGCGAGGACTCGCTCTCATAACAAGTCGTCGGCCGCCCCAACAAGCACGCACTGCCATCGTCCGAGCGCTAGCAAGCATGCTTCTCTGCTAACGATTATTTGTCACATGCGCGTCTTGGCGACCAAGCGACAAGACGCATGGGTGCACCAGCCGGTATCCTCCACGTCATCCAAACTTGACTGACGATATGGGAGAGTCGAAGGATCGCCATGTCCTCTATGCACGCAATGCGATTGATGCATCCTAGTCCCTCCTCCGTCCTCAATGGCATTGCACGGACGCTCCGGCACACGCCTCGGCTCACAAGGCACCCCATCCCGCAAGCCGCCAAGTACCAAACGATCTCACTACTACGACCAACCATCCAACTATCCAACTACTATCCTCCTCGACTGGATCGTCCGGTCGGTTTTCCCTTGTATGCGGCAGGTGCGTGTTTTCTGCAGCACACCGGCGGTTTCTGGCTCACTTCTTAGCTCTGTTTTTGACTTTTTTTGCATGGGCGCCAGCGTCGACGGCGATGGCGTCGCCGCCTGCAGCGCCAAGGCGTCCTTCCTCGGGGTCGGCAACGCCGAGTGCATCTCGATGCACCTCGCCTACGCGTCCTTCCTCGTCGCCGTCATCGTCGCCATCTCGGTCCTGCTCGATGCGATCCTCGCGTACTCGCGGCGAGCGATCCAGTGCCCGCAGATGAAGCGCATCGTCAACCGCTTCTTTGAAGAGCTCATGATCATGGGCTTCATTTCGATGGTACACGACGACGACGACATGCTGCATGAGGACGATGGGCTCACACGCGTGACTAGTGCATCTTTGCCATCGACACGAGCGGGCTCGTCGAGGAAGTCTCGTTCGGCGTCGACAACCTCACGCGCCTCCAGCTGCTGCACTTTCAAGAGTTCTTCCACTACGTGGTCTTTATGACGACCGTCTACTACGTGGCGATCATGCTCCTTCTCCTCGTCATCGCTACCGTTGTGCCACGGCTGCTCTACGGCACGCCCCGCGACGAGCACGAAGAAGCGGCGCCGCTGCTCGAGCACGCAGACACGGACGACGCGCTCTTGAGCCCGTTGTCCGACGTGTACCCCCGGCAGTACGACGCCGCCAAGCGCGCGCGCGATGAAACCTCGGGTACTATCGCCAATCTGTCGTCGCTTCAAGTCGCCGCATCTTCGTTGTAGGCTACAATTTTGTCCATGCGTCGCGCATGTACTGTCTGCTGCGGCAGCGCTACAAGCGCGAAGGCGTCTTCTTCAAGTTCAACTTGCTCAAGCAGTTTGCGCTCTGGAAAAGCTTTGAGCTACTAGCGTACAACGTGTGCCAATACCGAAGCAAGTATCTGTACAAGAACCCGAGTGAGATGCAGCGCATCTTTGGCCTCTCGCACCGGTCGTCGCACCACGTGAGCTTCCGCCGCTTCCACACGCTCTGCACGCGCCACCTCCTTGCGACCGTCGCGCATCTGCATTACACGACGTTCTTCGTGCTGGTTGTGCTCGTCTTCGCGGCTGGCGCGCTCCCGACCGCGACGGCCTACGTCTTCCTCGGGCTCGCCACGTGCCTCGCGATCCTAACGTTTGTCATTATGATCAAGACCCTCCGGATCCTCAAGGGCATCATCAAGGACCGGCTCTTGGTGCTGACGCGCGAAGACATTGATGCGGTGCGGCATCGCACATCGTCCGACGATCCGCTTCCGTCGCCAGAGCGCCGGTAGATTCTGCTTTGGATTTCAAACACTGGATGACACGACCATAGGCGCCCGACGCTCAAGGGTGTCGCGCAGATGGTCCGGGCGACGATCCGACTGCAAATGTCCGTGCTCTGCCACCGGCAGCTGCACTACCATGACGCGCGGTTCTGGTTTCGCCGGCCGTGGTTTCTGCTGCGTCTCTTCCAGCTCTCGACGACTGGCCAAGCGTTCTACCTCGTCTGGCTCACGCTCGTCGTCGTCAAAGACCCGTTGTTGCCGAGTTGGATGCTGGCGTGCATGGTGCTCGCACCACTCACGTCGCTGTTTATTTTAACGCCACTCACGATGCCGAGCCTCGTGCTGGTCATGAGCCTTGCGGGCTTCTTCGTCGAGCAGGACCCGCACGGCCAGAACAACAACGGCTTTGACGAGCTCCAGCCGCAGCACCTCACGGCCAAAGATCGCATTCGCATCGCCCGCAAGTACGCTGCTAGCTCGATTGAAAGCGAGAGATTGAGGATGATGCTGATGCTGAGGATGCGATAGGTCGTATCTTCGAAACACCGAGGAAACGTCGACGAGCGTCCCGTGCAATGCCGACGTGTGCCAGAGTTTCTCGTCCAAGGGGTCGGTGGCAGCGCTGCCGGCGGCGTCGCCCCAAGCCTCCGACATGCTTCTGCACATGTACGACCTGCCGCTGGTGTCGCCAGCGTCATCGTCGGGGCGCCACTCGAAGCGGGGCACACGGTCCATCGTGACGACGCCGGTCGAGACCGAGTACACGCTGCAAGGGACACCGCGGAGCTTCTTCCAGGAGACCAAGATGTTCCAGAACTACTGCTCGAGCTACGGCGGGTATGCCACGCCGAGCAACACGGTCACGACGGGCAACAACTACACCTACAACGACGCCACCAACGACGGCGACGGCGACAACAACATCCATGCAGTGCGAGGCGACGAGGCTGCATGAGTAGACGACGATCATAAGAAGCATCTCAATGCGCTTTCGTGTACATGCGGTACTTTGGTAAGAGGGCTCGCTTCTCTTCCTACAAGACATGGATCGTGGTCAGCAGATGAGGAGAAGAAGACATTGCACCATCGACATGTTGTCTTCTGGAAACACAAACGTGATGCCGGGCTGCGGCGCGGCCAAGACGACCTCGAAGGCTTCCTCGTCCTTGCTTGCGGTCGAAGTCGGCGCGTCGGGCCTATTCAAGCGTGCATCATGAGAGACCTTGCATGCAACATGCTCGAACGTACGTGCTGGTCATGGCGGCGGCGAGGGGCGGCGGGGCCATCATGTGCGGAGGAACGACGCCGGGCGGGAATGCCATTTGAGGCGGCATCATCATGGGCGGCGGACCGCGCATGAGGAGGTGCGGCGGCGGTGGCGGCGGACGCATCGGGAACCCCATCGGCGGGCCACGCGGCGGTCCCATGACGACTGGCGGCGCGACAGGGTAATGCATTTGCATCGGGTACGCGGCGACCGGCGGCCGCGGAAACAAGGTCGGCGTCTCGAGGCGCGCGCGCTTGTTCGGGTCGTTGTCGATCTTGGAGTAGCCGGGCACGCCTTCCATGCCGTAGACCTCGACCTCGACCGAGTCGCGCCCGGGCTTGGCGTTGGGCACGGTCAAGATGGTCTCCTTGTGCACCTGTGCGACGTGGACGACCATGCCGCTGGCCGTCGAGAGCTTCTTGTTGCAAAAGTTGCACTTAAAGTGGCGGCTCTTCTGGTGCATGATGAGGACCTTCTCGTCCTCGAAGATGCGCTCGCAGTAGTAGCAGTAGACCTTGGCGATCTTGGGCTCATCGATGCCATCCTTGCGCTTCTTCTTCCCCATCCGGCGCGTCTCCTCGATACCACAGAATGCCACCAAAAGCACAGCGCCTGCTGCGATTGGTCAAAATCCTTCCATTTCGAAGGTACCCAGGCCAGGACGCGGGCCAAGCGACAAGTGCCACGCGCGATCCGCTGCAGACGGCCATGGCTGTACGGCAGCATGGGCCTGGTACGTGCATGCATGGCATGTGAGCAGACGTCCAATGCGGTCATCGACGCGGTGCCGGGCGACGGGACCCAGGAAGCGTGATGGATGACGGCCGGGTTCACGCAGGACGCGAAGGCTCGCGTGCATGATCGCGGTAGCTTCCATGGATCGAGTGCGTGCATCGGCGGCGATGCTAGGAATGTATGCATTGTAGCGCCACTCTGTCCAGAGCCTGAAGTGGCAAGCTACATGACGCCTCCTTGGCACGGATGCCATTCCTCGTCTCCATGGACATCGACTTGCATGGACAACGCAGCGAATACCAGTATGGCTTTTCCGTTGCTGCGCTGAGCTCGCGGGTAGATTGCTCGCCGACACAGCCTTGCAGAATGTGCAGGCCCTCGCGTCTGCTACGCCAATGGGTGCGACGGACGTTGAAGCGCACACACGCACACGTACATCGCAATCGAATTGCTAAGAACTGCATCACAACCGCACTACGACTCGCAGAGCTGGTGTCATCCAAGGCGGTGGCTTGTCCAGTGCGTAGCCCTTCGTGTGTCTCGGTCCACACGAAACGCATCTCTTGACCGCGCCGCCACGACGATGAAGCATCCACATTGGCCACCAGACGCAACTCCTTTCTCGACATCTCTCACCTCGTTGCACTCTTCCGTACACTGCCAACTCCCATCGCCAACGTCAAATACTCGTGACTCAACCACCACCATACATCATCATCATCATCATCATGTTGCCTGCACGTCCTTGAACCAGCCCGTTCGTCGTTCGTCGCCAGGACGTCTCCAAGGATATAGGTAACGCTAGCAGTCGCAAGGCTTCTCTGGTTCACAGCAGAGTCTTGAAAATGCGCATCTACTGACCAACCTGGTGCCTCCAGTACTTCAGATCCGCGGGCCACGGCCTTGGCACTGGCAGCCAGCACATCGTAATACACACGATGGCCACGTCGAGATGGCGCCAAGCGCCTCATTGCCACTGCCAGAGCCAGGCAGATGCAGCGCCACGCCGGGCTTCACTGCCATGCAGAGCCTTATGTCCTTTGCCTCCAGCATGGCCGGCGCGTCGCCTTGGCAATAGCCAATCCAAGTAGGGATTACGGTTCGTCGTTCTCATTGGTCAAAATTCGGGCCGGACCGCCCTCCACTCAAATACGCTGACTGGTCGATAGCCGGCTCGCGATTATGCGTTCTGAGAGGTAAATCCTCTCTCTTTCGATAATTTTGCCACGCGGTGATTGGTCCGTGTGGTTGATTGGTTACCAAGTCGTTCGTCGGCGCCGGTGTCTCGTCGGCCGGCTTAGTTTAAACGGGAACACTCTCTGACATTAAAAGAGCTAACATGGGCATGTAAGTGAACTACCACCTACAGCAATGGCATGCGACGACGACGACGACAATGACGATGACGACAAGGATGAGGCGTCAACATGAGCAAGACGACGGTCGCGCGATTCTCTAGGTGTGCGCTGCATGCGCCGATGTGGCGGCGAAGTCTGCCACCCAACGCCATATCTTGCTGTCGTCGCTGTTGTCGTCGTCGTCCTTGCTGCCATTGCGCCACTGCAATGTACAGACGAAGCTCATGGCTCTTGTAGTGTCAAGAACGGGAAGGTTGTTGTGTTGTTGAACGGCCGCTACGCCGGCCGCAAGGCCATCGTCGTCAAGACGTACGATGAGGGCCACGGCGACCGCAAGTTCGGCCACGCCATCGTCGCCGGTATCGACCGCTACCCCCGCAAGATCACGCGCTCGATGGGCAAGAAGAAGGTCGCCAAGCGCTCGAAGGTCAAGCCGTTCGTCAAGGCGGTCAACTACTCCGACTCAGTCACCTCGCGCTACGTCGCCGACATTGACCTCAAGAAGGTCCTCGATGAGGAAGTCATGGCCACGCCGGAGGCCCGCATCGAGTCGCGCAAGACGATCAAGAAGGTCTTCGAGGACCGCTACCTCAACCAGGCTGCGTGCAAGTCGGAGAAGAAGGCCGCTGGCGTCTCGTTCTTCTTCAAGAAGCTCCGCTTCTAAATGTATTGGCGTTGTCCCTTGTCCTGACTTCAGCAGCCCGCCAGTGGTGATGATAACACGACGACAATATACCAGAGGTTCCGATATTTCCCACACGCTAATGTCTTTTTCTAAACTCGCTGCTCGCTCTCCTTGCCCCCAAGCTCGATTGTTAGTCCCAAGCGCGAGTTTCAAGTTGACTTGGTCGAGGTGGCACCGACATTTTGTGATGCTCCTCTGGCTCGTTGACCGTGTCCTCGCAATCGTCTTGACGTTGCAGTGCTTGATTTCCCACCAAAACATATATAACCTTTGACACCACTGTCGCTGTCGCATGGACGAGGCGTGCTTTGAGTGCGTCCGATGGCTCGCGTCTCGAAGCAGATAGCGCTGCGGGTGGTTGAGCGGACTCGAGTGGGCGGATTGAACCAGCTCGCGTGGGTGGCGTTAAAAACCACTCGTGATCTACATCCAGTGTTTCTCTGCTTTTGCTACACTACTACCTCTGGCCATGTTGAGCATGAACGACTCTACCCATGCACATGCCGTGTCGTCGGAGGGAGTCTTGCTAGCATGTAGTGCAGGATAGTCTTCGAGTTGCACTAGTATGCGAGAGCCAAGGGCCTCGCCGCACTTGGCGTGGGGAACTGGTCGCTGACGTCCATCAATCTCGTCGTCCGGCGCAAGGAATCGCTTGCCGCTATTCGTCGCTCCATGGTCATTCTTGGAGTCGGACATCGAGCTGCGGCAGTTGACGCCGCATACCGTAGCACTGAATAGTCCTATTTACACAGCTCTCGAACCACTAGCCCAGGACACGACAATGTAATTGTATCAATCTATCAGGAAGATCGTCCGACCGAGAAGCCATTGGAGGGGACTTTACAGGAGAACCCTGTGGCCAAGGCACTCAGTTCGCCCTCTTACCAATTTTTTTGCCTCTCGGAACACGAGCCCGTGTTTTGGAGCACGGCCTTCCGTTGTCCGGGGTTCGGATACGACGGTCACACGAACTACTACGCATTCGATGGTACTACCTGCTCGTGACGGTGGCTGGCTTCTAGTCGGTCTATATCTACTAACTAGACATGTGAAATGGCTCCTAGGCACTTTCGCATCCAGTACATCCCATTGCCCATCGACAAACCACAAACGCAGTGGACTCCAGAGACATCACGACGTCGCTTCGAGGCTACGCCCCAATCAGTTCTTGGATCTGCGTCGCAGCACGTGACCGACCCCTAGACGTTACCCTACCCCGTCCTCGTACGCCTTAATTAGTGGACGATTATTGTGCTCGACATGCAGACAACCTGTCTCGTATAAACACATTCGTTATTGATGGACTCAAAGCAAGATCCTACTTGAGCGCTGCAACGACCGCGCTGCTGCGGGGGCGTTTTGCGGGGTTGGTGTGCCAGCACTGGCGCACAATCTCGGCAACGCTGGACGGGAGCGCCGCGAGGTCAAAGGCCGGCGTCTCGACGTGGGCGTAGAGGTACAGGTCGCCAGCGACGAGACCCTTCTCTGCGTACAGCGCCTTGCACGGCCGGTCGCGCGTGAAGATCTCTGCGACGAGCACACCGAGCGCATACACGTCGGTGGCCATCGTCGTCGTGGGCGGCGACAAGGCGCGGAGCTCGGGCGCTTGGTACGGAACTTCGAACGCGCCGAACGTCGTATTGCACGGCCGCGTGTCGAGGTACTCGCGCTTCATGAGCTCGAAGACGTTGAGCTTGCACTCGAGGTGCGCGTTGACGAGCGCCTTCTCGCTCGTGAGGTGGCCAAACACAATCTGGTGCGACTCGTGGAGGTACGCCAAGCCCGTGGCCAGCGAGAGCGCCATCGCGCGCTTCTGGTCGTTGGAGAGGACGAGGGTCGCGTCGAGGAGCGCAGCGCTCAGCGCGCCCTTCTCCATAAACTCGGACACGGCGCAGAGCCGCGTCTGGAAGTTCATGAGGCAGACGCCCGAGATGGACGTAATGGACAGCGACTGCACCTTGCAGACGTCGTGGATCGACCGAATGAAATCGGCGCGCGACTCGACGGACGCGGTCGGGTAGTCCATGCCCTTGAGCGCGACCTTTTGCCCGCGCACGTTGCAGCTAAAGAGGTTGTGCCCGCCCTTGATCGCCGATGTCTTGAGCGTCTCAATGTCCATCCAGAGCGGCTTGAGGTCGTCGCGCTGCGAGAGCTGCGTGAGGAGCGACTCCGTGTGTCTCGGCTTGGGCTCCGCGACCACCGTCGACGTCGACGTGGTCGCCGACGTGGCCGGCGGCGGCGACGACGCTTTGATGGCCTTGGGCGCGCCGTCCACCGAGTCGATGCCGAGGTACGAGTCCTGGTGGTCGGGAAAGTCGGGCGACCGCACCGCGCGCTTCTTCTTGCGCTGGTACATGACAAAGAAGACGACCGCGACCAGCGCGACAACGCCAACGATCGACCCGACGATCGCACCGGTGTTGGACGACGACTCTGACGTCGGTGTCGCCGGCCCCTTCGTCGCTGCGGCCGTCGGCGCTGTCGTCTCCGTCGCGGTCGCGGTCGTTGGCAGACATGCGATCGACGGGCTGTCCGGCATCCAGAGTTCGCCCTTGCACGTAAATCTGATGGTTTGGTTGTGCGACGACCCGTTGCCGTTGAGCGGCCTCATGGAGTCGACCTTGCAGCAGTTGTCCGGCACCGACTCCAGCTGCGGGCAGAAGATGAGCACGTCTTTTGGCGCGGGACCACCGGGGCAGGCAATGAGGTTGGACGTCCAAAGGCACGGGGGGCCAGAGCAGGTTCTATTCGTGTTCGGCGCAGTCGTTGCCGTACTCGACGGCGCTACCGTTGTCGGCGTCGGCGTCTCTTGTTTGGTTGCTTCGCCTGCGGTGCCCTCGGCGGCGGCGTGGGCGGCGACCATGCTCGGGCTTGCCAATATGGCGTGCGATCGCGTTCTGGCTGGAAAATCTATCCAGTTGGCCTTTTTTCCAATTTTTCCACGTCCCGTGGTCGTTGTATACAAACATGAAGTTTATCGGCCAAAACGCTGTATTTTATTGTCGGCCCACAATCGTGTGCACAGTGCTGTTACTTGCGCAAATTCCCGCGATTTGCACGAAATATTGCCGCAAGGCGCCGAAAAAGACGGTCCCAAGTGCCATCGACGACGTCCAAGCAGTACCGTGTAGTACCTGGACGAAGCAAGCGTCGGCTTCTCTAGTCGCTTCCGATAGCAACCATTGCTGCGGATGAGCGTCATTTACGCGGCGGAGTCGGAGGCATGTGTAACCCTCTTGAATCGCAGGGATCGAACCCACTTGGCACATGCAAAACGACTGCAAGTCGACGCTTTAGTCGACTGCCTTGCGACTCGTAGCGGCCGCGATGACGGCTTGAATTGTCGTTAGTTTGTTTTGCGACGACGAGTGCTACCACGGTACCGAGTATCAACATGTGGACCTACGACCCTGCCAGGGTCGAGTGTCCATCATCTGTGCGACTGTCGTTGTTGTTGTTCGATGGGGTTGGATGGAGACAACACAACCACGGACAACGCACCGCTGCGACACCAAACGACCGAGGCGCTCTATTTTTCGACTCGGACCCCTACGATGGGTTGTGGTAGGCTGGTCGGGGTAGCTGGTTGGGGTGTAGCCGTCAAGCGCCCAGATACTTCTGGAATACGGGTACAGTAGTAGGTAGGTTGGGTTATGCAGGTCGCTCTCAACGGGTTGCTTGACGCTGGCGACTCGTCTGTTTCGGACGGCCCGTGACCTCAACGAGGCAGCGGATGCTCGCGCGAGCGATTGGAAATAGGCCAAGCGCCCCGCTGCTGCCGGCGATATGGCCCGCGAGGAGGGGTTCTTCTTTGGGTTGCGCCGTTGACGCCACTACTCTCGAGTCGGGTGCCTACGCTTGCCAGGCACACTGTCGTTTAGAGCTTCCACGCGTATTCGGTAGATTGGCTCGCAGCTACACTTGGCGAGCAACACTGCCTCGCTCGACACAGTGGCCAAGTGGCAAGAGCAAGGAGGTTGATGTGCGTGCAGTATCCTGCGGCTCACAGGAATTTATCGAATGCCACCGGCGCCCACCTGGCGTTGTCGGCGTGCACTCACACCTCGGTGCGCCGCGGGAAGAGGCGAGGACGTCCAGACAGACCTCGACGCGCCGCAAGGGCTTGGACGGAGCCCACAACATGACAAGAAATGGCATGTGGTCACACAGCGACAAGGCGGCAAATGCAGGATAAATGTGAATCGCTTACAGGTCGAGGTAGCGCGGCGACGCGAGGTCCATGAGCGTCGCGCCGACTTGCTGCACTTCGACCTTGCACGGCATCTTGTCGATGCTCGTTACCATGGCCCACGCGCCCCAGAGCGTCGACATGGACCTACGTAGCAGGAGTATGGTGGCAGCCGCATCCCGACGAATGTACCTCGCCTCGACGCGCACGATGCACGTGTACCGGTGCAGCGTCCGATGGCTGCGCTCGTGCGAGAGCAAGTCGAACGGGTGTGTTGCGACGGCGACGGTGCCAAAGACCTGCTTGAGCACAGACGAGAGCGCGAGCTTGGTTTGCATCGGCTGCAACTCAAAGCTGTCGGCGCTGGTCGATGGCACGATCAGCGACCTATCGCCGCGCCCATCAGAGGCCATCGAGGAGCTTATGCGTAGTACAGATGCAGACGCGCAAAGCAGTGCTCGGTCGGCAGCGCAAACTTGGCATGCACAGTCGCCATCGCGGATCCAACGGCTTTGATCTGGCACCGCATCCGGACATCCGGATGCAAGAGGGACGGTGGCAAATATATGCATGGTCGCCGCTCAGTCCAATAATGACACTATCTCCGTGTTCAAGTCCGAACACTAATAGGTCATTCGTATACTATAAAAAGAAATGTAAATAGAATGCTCCAGTGATGCGCGCCGGTTCAGTCATCCTTCCAGTGTACCTTTGGCATGTGCAGACGACTTGGTCCGTCGTGAGCGGGCGGCGTCGCGACGTTGGCACCGACCCGTGAGCCCAAGGCAGGACATAAGAAAATTCGTATGAAATGAAAATTCGTATGAAATGAAAAGCTCTTTGTTCTGGCCAAGTCAAAGAGTAGACGAACGAGCCAATCCACGGCAAGCATGTATGCCTGCGAGCTCTGATTGGCTGTTGGCATATCCTGCGCCGACCAGGATAGCGAGAGGAAGGAGCCGATGCTTTCGCCGCGCCACAAAGAGCGCGAGTGAGAAACCTACGCAGCTAAGAAAGGAGTGTGAATCGTGTACTTGCGAGGAGCGACCGCGTCAACCGCCCGTCAACGACCGAACCGCCGACGCTCCACTTGAAGTTGGCTTGTTCCTGGCAGAACACACTGGCAGTGTCTTCGCACGCCAGCGCAGGTGCAACACCACAAACGATGTGGCGCTGCTTCTGCTCGATAGTACGTAGAAGGTGCCCACGCGCAAACGGTCAAAGACTCTTTATGTCTCTGCCCACGAGCTTGATCAATGCCGTAGTGGTAGAGTGAACCAGGCTATCTCGATCGCCGCCAATCGATCAGGATCAATCCATCGATCGATGGGCTTCACGCGTCTACCAACCTATCAAGCGAGCTACCAAGCGCGTCGTGGTGCGTCGGTGAGAGACATATCGCAACAAAGAGCGCCACACTCGATCATGCCGCAAGTACAGTTTCAAGCTCGAAACCGACAACGAGACAGGCGGTGCGATGTGGTTTGGCGTCAACCCGCTGCGCTGGAATCGCCCCGTCGGCGTCCGGCCGCGCACCAAGAGGACCCGCGTCCCGACAGCGGCAGCATCGTCGTCGCTCACGCCAGTGGTGCCCATCGCCAACCAGCCCACGGCGTCGTCCGATCCCACGGTCCTCGCATCGTCCTCGTCCTCGTCCTCTTCAACGCGATTGGTATCCGCGGCCGAGACGCCGGATCTCGGAAAATGCGTCTCGCAGACGCTCTACGGGCATGCGGGTGGTGTCTGTGCGCTCCTCGCCTCGGACGATCGGTACATTGTCTCGTGCTCGATCGACATGACGCTTCGCATTTGGTCGCGCGGCTCGTTCAACTGCCACCACGTGCTCAAAGGGCACAAGGACGTCGTTTGCGCGGTGGCTCTCTCCAAAGAGCACCTGCTCTCGGGCTCACACG